TTCTTTTACTTGATCTTTTTTAAATGAATATGTAATTTATTTTTGCAAATTACTATAAAAAATATAATAATATTTTTTATATTAATTTGCAATACAATACGAGATCGATATTTGATTCCCATTTTTGGTGGTTTTTATTTGTAAAATTGAAACTGCTAGATCAAATCTTTAAAATTTGTTTCGCAAATTTTTAATTAAAAAAGAATGACTGCAATGTTTTATTAGAGTAAAAGAAATAACATAAAATACTAAAAAGATGACAAATAAAATTAAACAGAGGTTAAATTAAATATATAGGTTCTTCTCTTTATAAAGTAATGCTTATTGATCATAAGTTTAACATCAAAATCTTTTTGTTAATTTTTACTTGCTTTAGTATATATATTTGTGCTATCTTCAGAAAGCTGACAGTAGTATTTATGTAGACAACTAAGCAATATCTTGCATAATATTTTTTAAGGATTATCAAAATTCTGGTAAATACTTTCTGGGAAAATCTGACAAAATCTTTTTACTTATGCACATTTCTAAAAGGCTCACAAAAAGTCTACTATTGGGCATTTAACTATACTTAATAAAACCTAGCTCCAAAGGATCTTTTTGTAAATTAACTGTAAACAAATGTAAAGCCTTCTTCAAGGAAATCATGCATAAGAAATACAAATGCGTGTAGTGTTGTAATTAGAGCACTAGAAGTTTGTTTGGTTAATGTCAGCTATTTATCAAATTTTATTTTGATCAAGTTTCAGTACAGTTTGCAATTTCTCTATAAAACATCTAATCAAACTCAGCATTGCTGAGTTTGATTAGATGAATTAAGTTTCTGCTTTGAATTAAGTATGATAAATAACTTATAAAACAATGATAATTGTGCTGCGTTATTTCTTTCAGAAAAATAACTCTAAATTAGCAGTTGTAGCTGCAGTTGTTTTGTCAAATATTGTCGATGTTGACAACTTGTTTGTTGTTACCAAAATATGTGATTTGATAATTAATTTTTCTTGCTTTTTCTTGCTTGTTTAAAAAGTGATCTTTTAATAAACTTTAAGAAATATATTTCCTGCAATGTAATCAGCAGTAACTTCAACAAGAAGAAAAAAACAAAAACCGAGTTTATCAAATAACAAGTATATTTTAAACACTCCCTTTCTAAATGAAATGATAAATTAATAATTTTCCATCTCCAGTATATGCTTTATGAAACTATATAAATGCATTAACATTTGTAAAATGGTTATCGGTAACTATCACTAGTTCTTATCTTAAATTCAGATTGGTGCATTGAGGTAATACACTCATCAATTTCTTTTTTCAAACATAAACCTGTTATGTAAACTTTAGGTTATGATTTCAAAACATAAGAATAAATTTTTGAAGCCCTACAATCATAAAAACAAAAACAAATTCTTTATAAAGATTGTTTTCTCAATCTTCATCAAAATGTTTACCACTTTGGGCTGCTTTTTGAAAGTTCACCTTACCCACAAGAAGCAAATAATCTCTTAATACCAAACTTTTGTCAATATTTTTCTAATATATTATAGTTTTTCAATTTGTATTTTTTACCACTGCGAAACCATTTAAATAAAGAAGAATGATAACCATTTATTTGGCAATAAAAAAAATTAGAATTTTATTAACAGCTATTGACTCCAAAACAGTTGGTATGCCTGATATTTCTTGGCTACTGTAAATAAATAGCCTGATTTGTTACATTTTAATTGCTGTATGTTTGAGACATGCAGCATAATAAAGTATTTACAATCCAAAACCTTGTTTTGCAGTGTAAATAATTTAAAGAAAAGTTTATGTTTTCTACTTAATAATTGCAATTATAATAAATCCAAAATTACAAACCTTTAAAATTATTTCCAATGGAGAATTGTGGGTAGTTTTAGCAATATGTAAGATTATTTTTAGTAGCATGTTAATATGTGTTGATATAGCTATCTGAAAGCCTATTTCAGTATTCTTTTTTATTGGAATAAATTGAAGCAGGCAATCAGTTAACAGAAAATCTAGCACAAAATAATTTAAGTAATCAAAGAAAATCTAACTAATATTAAACCATTTTAATAAAATAATTATAGTGCAAACAAGACTCTTAACCATAACAAAATTTTTATACTTTTTTTATACTTAAGCCGTAAATTTATTTTTATACAAAGTTTTTATACTTAAGCCGTAAAAAAAACTAGCCTCTTAATTTTTTACGGAAAATGCAACAAATCAGGCCGTGTAATTTAAGTAGGCCATGTTGGTTTTTTAAAAAATTATCAGTTTCTTTTAGAATGTTTTTTTTTTTTGTTCTTCCAATTTTGACGTTATAAGTCGTTCAATATTTTTCCAAACCAAATATATGAAATAAAATAAGAATATAATATAATAATAAAAATTAAATATATAGTAAAAATTAAAATTAGAATATAATATATATAAAAAATTGTTATAGAAATTAGTAGTAACTTTGAGAAATGAGAAATATCAAAACTACTACTTATTTCATTTACTGTGATCTAAGTTTCAGTTAAACAAACTTCATTAAAAATGTGTTTAGTTTTTTCTAATAAATTTAAAAGTTTTTCAAAATTGCATTTCAAACTTTTTATACTGAGGTGGAGAATTACAAATTATAATTATAATATAAGTGGGCGCAAAAAGACTGGGAAATAATTACAGCCACAAGGTAAAAAACAATCAATCCACGGGCTTTATTCATTCATACATGGCCTATTTTAAATACACGGCCTTCTAATCTGCTAAAGTCGAAGGCCAGTTGAAATAACGTATATTCTATTATATGGACAGACTCTCTCAAAATATTTTAAATATTGCGCTATAAATGTTAAGTAAGTAAATCTGACACCGGATAAAAGTTTTTGCGTTAGATTAATGCCAAACTGTATTGTTATTGGCCGTGGATAGCCTACCGAAAGTCGGTAGCGGAAAAATAAAAATTATCCTACCGAAAATTTTTTTTATTGGTTGACAATATCACATGTCAAAATAAACAATATTTGTTATACCGTAAAATAAAGATAATTTAAGATATTATTTTTAAAAAACAAAAACGTAAAAAATGTAAAAAAATTAAATAGGATTTTCCATTAAATAAATAGAAATGACTGCCACCCCATACCAAAACCCTCAGTCTATGCATGTACACGACACAGCGCCTATCCCTATATTAGTAAATGTATGTGCTCTTCACTGCGCCTATCCCTAAGCTAGTAAATGTTTGTACACTTTACTGCGCCTATCCCTAAATTAGTAAATGCATGTACATTCCTCGGTGCCTATCCCTAAATCAGTCAGTGTATAAACACTCCATTGCGTCTATTAATGCATTGTGCTATTCCCAGCGTATATCCCTAAATAATTTATTCAATTAATAAGCGTAATAAAACCTAAAAAATATGGAAAAAAACAATCGAAATGTTAAAAACATTCCTGAGAAAGGATTCGAGCTCGGAGCGCCTGCGTGGAGTTCCAAACTTGTATCCAATACACTACTGAGCATTTCTACATCAGGAGTTAAAAGTATATTTATATAGCAATTTTATTGTGACACGTGATATTTCTTAACTAATAAAAAAAAACTTTCGGTAGGATAATTTTTATTTTTCCGCTACCGACTTTCGGTAGGCTATCCACTGCGATTGTTATTTGTGACTACTTTTTAATTATTAATAATAATAATGGTTAATAAATGCTGTGTTGTTAGTTGTACCTCTAATTATAATGGTGGTGAAGTAGTCCCAGTTTTTGGTTTTCGAAAAGATGATGACTTAAGAAAGTTATGGGTTAGATTTGTAAACAGAAATTTCTGGACTGTCACTAAATCATCTGTGATCTGTTTAAAACATTTTGATGAAAATTTAATACACAAATGAGCATCAGCAAAACGATTTCGTTTGTTGTATAATTTGAAGCCTGTTCCTACAATATATCCGGCTAGCATAGCAACGGCTTCACTTCCAGTTATGTCTGTACCAAGAAAATCACCAACTAAAAGAATTTTTCAAGAAGATGAATATCAGAAATTTTTATCAAATGATGTTATTGAAGATCTTAATTCTCTTACAGTTGCTGATTCACGAACAGGATATTCATTTTCCAAATTTGATGATTGTGTTGTGTTCCATAAAATTATTCAAAATGAACTTCACATACCTCAAGTTGCTGAATGTATTCGTATTGACAAAAATCTTAACGTTAAACTTTTTTATAAAAATCTTCCAGTTTCTTTACCACCTTGGTTTAGAGTAACCCACCAATGTGTGTTAAAGAGACGGAGTATGCTGGAAAACTTCAATTCACATTTTAGCATCGAAAAAGAGAAGCTGTCTTCTATTCTTGAAGAACTTAAAAGTCACCAAGTAAAAAAAAATCAAATTTATTCTTCAAATATGCTTCAATTTGCCTTGATGCTGCGTTACACATCATTGCAAACATATAATTTACTGCTGAAGGAATTCCCACTTCCATCTATATCACTGTTAGGCAAGCTTAAAGCAGGTGAAATTGATTCTATGAAAGTTTTA